TTAACTTATTAGATAATAGAAAATATTTTCTTTAAAAAATCTTTTAGAATGTTTCAAACATTAAAGAATGTTTTATAAAATTATTTTTTACTAACTAAACAAATAATTTAATACAATATGAATCACAAAATGAGAATTTTATTTTACTAAATATTTTAATTAGTTGTTAATTGATAGTTATTTTTCTTAATACATTGTATAAGATTAGTGGGGGAATATTCATCATTAATTGTTAGTTATTCACTTTTTAAAAATCAACTACTTGTATTTTCTACATTTTTTACATTTAAAATAATAAAAATTTTGTAATTATGAATTAGTGTAATATTATAAATATAATATATTGTTATATAATTAATTTTTTATTTAAGAATACAATTGTTATATTATATATTTATTTATTTTATTTATTATACTATATATATTTAATATTACATAATATTTATTTAATATTATAATTATAATTATAAATTTATAATTATAATTATAATTATAATATTGTGACATAAGATAAAAATACATGAGCGATGATATAAAAATAATTTTTTATATAATTTTTATATATTATCTAACAAATAAATATACTTAATATTATATATTTTAAATAAATAAAAAATTAATAATTTAAATAATACATAAAATTATATTAAAAGATAATATAAAATTATAAATCCCGAATCATTTTCCATTTACTTCTGCATTGCCCTTAATGATTACGAAGCTTGAAGAGTACCACGTGAACGGTGGCCAGTTTTGGCTTCGTTGTAGCTTTTGTAGAATTGTTTTCTTTTTCATATATATATATATATATATATATATATTGTTGGCCGGAATTGTAGAATTGTTCTTTTGAATAAAATTTTAGCAAAAAAGTTGAATTAGAACCCATAAGATAATTATAAAAAATTTGAATTATGGGTAAAATTTATCAAATTAAAAAATGTAACAGTAAAAATTAAAACTACCAATTTATTTGAGCTAATTTTCTCTTTTTAACTTTTCATGTACTTTTTAATTTTTTTGACTTTTTTAATAATTAAGATATCTTTAAAATAATTTTTACATATTTTAAAATTAATCTTTTTCTAAATAATTTTAAAAATATATTCTACATTAATTTACACATTTAAAAAAACTAATTTCTTACCACTGTCCCAACTAAGTGCGGTAAGTTTCAAGTAATAGAAATCAGATTTGGGTTGCGTCAGATTGGTTAGAGCAAAGAAGAGGGCACCAATGGCTGGCCACAAGCAAAGAAAAGGTATTACAAAAACAATGTGCAAGGTAGTGAACCCTGTTCCCTGCGGGCACGATAGAAAATAGTGGTCCTGCTAGAATTCCATCTAGATTTTGTGGTTAGCATCAAAGAGCTACCAGAAACCCAGATCTAAGATGAGATTTCGTCGGCAATGGAAATAACTTCATTGATTGGCTACCATGGATGTAGAAAAACCATTTGAAATTTTCACAAATAATCATTTTCTAGGGCCGACGTCTTTGTTGATGTGGTGGACATAGTTTCTATTGATGAATTTAGATCATTCAATTTGAAATTTCTTTCTCCCATTAATTTTATTGAATCCCACTCTTTTTTTTCCCCTTTTTTTGCGTTAATTTCTAGGGAACCAAACGATTGGTTACTTCTTTAGAATTTAAAGGTAATTTTAATCAAAATTTTGGTTTGATTGAAAATGAATATAAACTTTTAGTTGTTTGGTTATCGAGAAAACAAAACAGAAAGTGATGATTTGTTGTAATTTCTCTACTTGAAGAAGATAAACGGGATCAAGTTGACTCAAAAATTAATGAGGGGGCTTTTGGGCAATGTTTCAAACTCGAACCGGAGGTCAAACCGTTTTGATATCTGGTTCGTGGTTTGAACAGTTCAACTAATTTAATTGGTAAAACCACTGAATCGATCAAATACTATAAATATATGATTTTGCAAAAGATTTCACGTGGTGCAGGTGGGTTGCATTGGTAGGTGGCTGATTTTTTATAGGAGAGATTCGAAGTTCAAGCGCCCCGATAACAAATTTTAATATAATTGCACTTTAAAAGTAGAATAAGTATATTGTAAAGTATCCAATTGACAAGAAAAAACAC